GGGTAGTTTTTCCCTTCAGTTAGCAAAGTATAGACAAAAATAAGAACTCAAATGGCTATACTCTGGGGTAACATTTATAGTTCTTCTAATTACAGAATTAAGTCCAGTTTGTGGAACTTCAGCTAAAATGTTGAGCAGTATGGAGTAAAGAAGTTGCGTGTAGCACCTACTTCTCACAAAAACATTAGCTGCTGTACAGTTTTAAGATTGCCTATGGCAATTGAAAGGATGTTAAAGCACACTGCAAATACAAAGGAATATGAGCTGAAACACATACCTTTGTCGATAGAAGCTCAGCCTGCCAAGGTTCCTAAAATAAGTGACTTGATTGACACAGGTGCTGTGTATTTACAGTTTCTTGGTTGAACTTTTGGTTGCCTGCTGGAACTAAAAGTCGGGCAATGCTCAGTTTGTTTAAAAATCAGTTTGGGGTTGTAATGTAACTTCCAACTACAATGTAGCCCACTCAAATACCTTGTGTCAAAACAATATTGGAGTGGGATAGTGGTGGAATATTCTTTGTCCAAAATGCAGTCAAGAATTGTCCTAACAATTTTTCTGGTCGATCGGTACTTGGCTATGCCTATTCCAAGAACTGTTTTTGTTCCTTGAATCCTTATATGTAGTGGTAGGGTGAGGTTTTACTCTCTCCCATATCAACATTCTGCAGGAGCAAAAAGGGGAGTGGGGGGAGGTACACAAATTCACCACTGCTGAGCCAAATTTTAATATGTAGAAGAATGTAAAAATGAGAAAGTTTGTTAAAGACTGGCAGTGAAGAGGATTCTGAAAGGAGTCTTTACTACTGCTAAGTCTTTCTTCCAGCACACAAAAGGCTGAAAATGTGCTGGCTATCCTGTAGGACAGCTGATGACTCAGATATAAAAGAGAACTCAAGAAAGGTAGAACCACCCATGTAGATTCCCAAGCTGTAGTCCTGGTTGGGAGACACGTGGAAAGAGACTGTCTGGAGTTGAAGGCATCATGAAGTTACAGCGAAAATGGGCAGATTGAGTGCAAAGAAATTACCGGGACTAACTGGTATTCATTAAGAGCTCTGAGGAAATTTGAAAGTAAAATAGCTGGATTTCTAACAGTAGTTTGCATTTTTTCAGTTCTGTAGTACTAGAAGATGTAACTGTGATGCCAAAACCCAATTTCTCTGGGGACCTTGAGAACTAGAAGCAGGTTAATGTGTTGTCTCTACCTGACAAATTAATAGAAATCGTAATAAATTAAATTTTCTGTAATGTGAAGTCTTGCTATATAGATTTCTTGTATTTTTTGTACTAGTCAGCAAACCTGATCAAGTCAGTAATTGATTGGGCATGGATGAATAACTGGCCAAAACCAGGAGGCAGACAGTTGGAAAAATCTTATGCTAATGGTAGAAAGTATTCAGGGTTTACTACTGGAGAAGGGCTAATTGGGAAAAAATATGAGGGGAAGGCCTTATGAGATTTAGTAATTATGCAGTAAAAGGTCAGATGATATTCATTGTGGGTAAAAACAAAGTGATGCAAGTGGAAAAAGCAGTCCTATGTTGTCATACAAAATGAGAGGCTTTGGGCGGGCTATTAGCACTGAGGAATCAGACCACTGTGCTGGTTTTGGCTGGGATAGAGTTAGTTTTCTTCACAGTATCTAGTATGTGGCTATGTTTTGGATTTGTGCTGGAAACAAGTGTTGATAACAGAGGGATGTTATAGTTATTGCTGAGCAGTGCTTACACAGAGTCAAGGCCTTTTCTGCTCCTCACCCCACCCCACCGGCAAGCAGGCTGGGGGTGCACAAGAAGTTGGTAGGGAACACAGCTGGGACAGCTGACCCCAACTGACCAAAGGGATATCCCACACCATATGACATTATGCTCAGCATATAAAGCGGGGGGAAGAAGAAGGGGGGGGGGGGGGGATGTTTGGGGTGATGGCATTTGTCTTCCCAAGTAATGGTTACGTGTGATGGAGCCCTGCTTTCCTGGGCATGGATGAACACCTGCCCACCAATGGGCAGTAGTGAATGAATTCCTTGTTTTGCTTTGCTTGCGTGCGCAGCTTTTGCTTTACCTCTTAAGCTGTCTTTATCTCAATGCGTGAGTTTTCTCACTTTTACTCTTCTGATTCTTTTCCCCCATCCCACTGTGGAGGGAGTGAGCAAGCAGCTGTGTGGGGCTTAGTTGCTGGCTGTGGTTAAACCACGACAGCCATGCAGTTCCATGATAACACCAACTTGTTGCTAGGCAGCAGATCAAAAAGCAAATGAAATGCTAGGAATTATTAGAAAAGGAATAGAGAACAAAACAGGACATAATTATGATAATGCATAAATTACATGGTTCACCCACAAGTTGAGTATCATGTGCAGCTCTTCTATCATCTCAAAATAGTTACAGTAAAGCTGGAAAAGGTTCAGAAAAGAGCAGTGGGGGTGATGGAGTTGATTCTCTATAAGGCACAATTAAGTAGACTGGAGCTCTTCAAGAAATTCTGGGAATGAGTAAATCACTAGAAGTGCAGAGAGGGCAGACAAGGATGGAGAATAAGATGAATTAGGGACTATCAATTGAACCTAGCAGGAGCTAGAGGAAGCACTTCTTCATGCAGTGGGTAGTAAAGATGCTGCTAAAAGACCCTGAGGGTGCAAGAAGTTGATGGTGCCTGGAGCAGGCTGGATGCATACTTGGAAAAGAGATACACTGCACGCTGGTATATAGACAAACCACTACACAACAAACCACAAGTGATTAGAAAGTAGAATATGAAGGCAGAGGGAAGTATTGTTTATGCTTGATCTCTCTTTGTTGTTGTTTGGAACTTGTGGCCACTCTTAGAGTTAGAATACAAGATTATGCTGAAATGATAAACTGACATCAGTTTAGCTTTGTCCTAGTTCTCAAAGGTGACAAATAAAGTCTGTGATAGAAAGGAATATTATGCCATTTCAGAGAAATCCTAAAAACCATTATCCAATACATTAATCTTTAAATTCTTTGATTTTTTTCATTATGGGGATAAGCAAATTTTTGCAAGTCTGTGGTAGTCGTGTGAATTTTCAGAAATGTCTTTTAATATGAAAACGTAGCACCATAAACCTGTAAAAATGTCCCACTCAAATGTCTCAAAAGTATTCCTAAAGCATTAAATAATATACACCTAAGCAAAAGCATGTTGTGGCTGTAGCTTTCTTCCCCTTGCAAGAAAACGTACTTCTCAATAGAACTAAAGTGCTTTAAAATCCCTCTGTCAGGAAAAAAATGAGATTTCTCAGTTTTGTTAAAGACTTCTGTATTAAAATATGTATGTGAACTGTAAAACTGTTAGTTGGAGGAATTGTTCTTTGGATGCCAGTTCTGTATTGCCAGTTTGATAACTGTGATTCCGTAGCACTGATATTCAAAGGACTTCTGTAAAAGCTGGTGGAAGGTGTTCTATAAAAGTAAAGCTGTTCTTTATGAAAACTTTGTTTCCATCTACAGATAGCCATTTGGAAGAATTTCCTACTCTCCTTCATTGTGCAGCCAGATTTGGATTAAAGGACCTTGCAACATTTCTACTCAATTGTCCTGATGCCACATGGGCTTGCAACATAGCCAACAAATATGGAGATGATCCAGCAAGTATCGCTGAGAAGCACGGGCACAGGGAACTAAGAAAATTAATCAGAGAATTGTCAGTAAGTCCATAAGCTTTCTCATATGTCATCTGTAACCAAGGGACTATGATGTTTCACTACTGAGATTCCATAGTATCTCCTCTCGTAAAGCCTAATATGTTGTAGTCCTTCTGCCTGAAAATATTATTATACTCCTCTCTCAGAAAGAGGGGTCAAAATGGGGTACAGCCACTTTCTTGTGCGCTGTGATAATGGAGATCAGAGTTTTTGCACTTGTTGACTTTTTAGGCATGCAATGGAAGAACAGTGAATCAGAAGTACCTCACGTGGCCCAGCTAGATTGGTGCTTTCAGCACCCAAACAATGGTTATATCGTAAGTAGTCTAGCCCAACTGTCTAGAGTAGGAGATAAAGACTTCTTTAAAAGTCACTTTAAAAGTTACTCTGAACTCTCTTAGCATTGCCACTCTTCAGCATTCAACACAGAGCGGTTGCCCTGCCTTGGCTGTCTGCTCCACTGTGAAGGAAGGCTAAATTTTACTACCCTTTGTTAGGTGGAGTGGATCTTTCTTCAGTTGGGTATGCAGGAGGGGTTTGGGGCAATAGTTGCATTTCTACATGAAAGCTAATGACAGAATAAAGATCTCTGCATAGTTCTAGCATGCAAACTGTTGCCAGTAGAATCTAACAGAATTGGCAGTGTAAAAAGCAATATACTGTAGTAACATTTGAGAGCTTTAACCTATTTTAAGTTTTCATTGTGCTAACTATAATATAAGCAGAGATGATAATTGTTGCCCCAGAGGTTTTAAAGCCTAGAGAACAAATTAGGTAAATCATATATCAAAAGAAAGACAGGATGTGAATGTAAGCCTATGCTGTGAAGACCTGTTGCAGCTTTGCTGATGGTGTGATTTTTTTTTTTTTTTTTTTTAGGCATTTTGGCAGTGGTCAAGATGCTGAATGAGAATAAGTTAACAAAAAGTTAACTTTTTGTTGTTGAACAGCTATTGATACAGGCTCTGAAAAACACTGAGGGTGGGAGAATATCTGCAAAGCAGGTATTTCTCCTTTTCTAAGACTGTTACAGAAAGCTCATACCTAATTGAGTATGTGATCTGGTGATGGAATATTTCCTTGCATTTACTGGACAATGCATCTGATCGGATCTCAAAAGCACTGCAGAGCTTTTTCTATTGATGGAGTGCGAAGGAATGTTGTGCTGCAGAGGTGATGCTTTTACCTCAGTTTCTGATACTGTAGTTGAGATCAAATTTAACTGAGGTAGATGTGATACTCCTTACCATCCAGCATACAGCTGTCCACAAAACCAGGCTGTCTTCCTGAATCAACACGTTAGTAATTTCACATTTAACAATTTCTAATTGTTGTAGTTGTTTCACAGTCATCCTTGCACTGGTCAGAGAGCTCTTGCCAGTAGCAGTCTGATGTATAAGGTCAGGACCCTCAGCTCTTGGAGTTTACCAGTTTGCCTTGAGGAGAATGGAACTGTGTTTCCCAACATCCCTACCTGTGGATCTGGCTAGATGCCATCTCTGTATGGTCAGGTACCCCCGGTACATGCTATGTGTAAAGGATTGGTAAGACTAGGCAGAATGTGAATAAGGTGATATTTAACTCTCAGTGAGATACCTAGATTTCTTTTCTACGACAGTCATAGGAGTCAGAGTTGAGCGTGGAAACATAGTTTCCATGGTTAATTTTTCATGTTTAATGATAATGGTTAATTCCATAGGACATTTATTTTTTATGGTAGTGTTGTAGAAATTCACCCCCCTGCACTTCAGACATGTCTTTCTTGTGTACCCCACATGGGACTGGAGGCTTCAGAAAATGAGTAATTTTATTTTTATCCTTAGAAATGCACTCATATTCAACCTCACGCTATAGTTTGAGGCCTCTGTAAGAGGAGACATAAGCACACATGGTACAGGCAGACTACAACTGATATGCATTGAGAGAGTACATTGCACTTACTATAGTGTTTTTATATTTTGGTAGACTTTGTCAGCAACAGAAGGCAGTGTTTGTGAGGTTGATATATTTCACTCTCAAAAGCGTGCAAAGCACGTGCATACCTCTGATTAGCTTTTCTTTTTTAGTAGGATTATTAATAGTCCTAATAAAGTCTCAGTATAAAATTATCAATCTAAAACATGGATAATGGTAACTCTGACTTTAGACAATGTAATTTTTAATTAAAACAGTTCCTTCATGGTACATATCTGCTATTGCTTGTATGTAAACAGTTAACAATAGTAGTTCTCTGCTCATGATAACTGCTTTCCTAAGTGTGAATACTTATACCGGCACTGAAGAAAAAACAACTATACTGCCATTGTAAGAATGTGTAGTCTGGTTAGGACATGCAGTTGTACTACCCATTTTCAGTTGATTCAAATGGTGTGGCTTACTAATCTGACACAAGAAAAATTGGAGCATGCTTCAAGTCTGCCAAATGTGTAATATGGTATTTTAGAAATGTTAGCTCCAACCACTGGAAGAAAAATGGCTTATTTGTGTCCCCTGTAATAGCGCATTTAAGAACAAAAACACTTACTGTACTTCTGTAATTGATGGGAATGTGGAAAAGAAATATTTGCATGGCTCTAAGCCAAGCAGAATTTAGTTTAACCACGTCCCAGGAACTTCCCGTTACAGCTGAAGTATTGAAATTGCTCGTTATTACAATAGAAGTACTTTTGTGCTTGGCATACCTCTCACTGTTTTAAAATTGTTACCTGTGTTTTGCCATTCCTTTAAGGAGTAGCCCCAAAATATACACAGTAATTCATCACTTCTATCTTAAAGAGCAATAGTGCTCCAGAAAATGAGTGTATTAAAACATATGTTCAATTTGTCCAAAATCGTATAAAGTGTCTTTCATTTGCCTTTGTGCTGGGGCATCCTTAGGGGAGTAAGAATTCCCTGAGATGGTTAGCAAGAGAGGGAGAGAGCAGCAAAAGAAGTGGCAACACCACAGCTACTATTCCTACCCTCAAGCCCAGGGCTTTGCTACGCAGCCCTCTTTGGTGGCTGGTGAGCAGATCTGTGCTCAGGGCTTTTTGATGATGCAGCTTTGCCCTTCAGCTCCCACATCCAGCAGGCTTACTGGAAAGGTGCTCAGGGCTCTATTGGCAAAAGTGAGCTGTAGGAGCTGGCTAACTTGCACACTGGGACATCTGTATGGCACAAGTTCCCTGTCCTTGTTTAAAGGGAAAACCTCTTTTCTGGAGCTGGACGCTGACAATGTTGATGGCGCAGAAGGCAGATCTAGAGTGTCTGGTGGGTATGCTGGGAGCTGGTCTCCTGATTTGTGTTGAAACAAAGCGCAAGGGAAGATCACATAGCATGTGGCATGCTTCTACTGATACAGCTGTATGAATGGGAGGGAAGAGATTTTCCCCTTTTTACTACCAGTGTTACATGCAGGGTCATTAAATGCTAAAATATCATACCCTTTAAGAACCTATATGAACGTGTGCTCCGACAAGTGGTAGCATCTGCTTTTTCTCTCAGAATCCTGCATTTCAAACACTCCTTGAAAATGTCTCCTTTGTGCTGAGGGAACACTGCAAGACTTGATCCATTTGTGTTAAAGGTACTAAATTGATGGAGCTGTCCCTAAAAGAGTCTTTAATGGGGTTTATGATAAAGCTCAGTTTCAAATGTGCCAGCAGTTTATTAAGCAAATTGTATTTTTCTTGCATTTTAGCACAAAGCCACCTAAATTGGACATTCCTTTCCAATTTCTACATGTTTCATTATAGTTTAGATGAAGTAATTCCCTCTTCTATAGCATAAAAGAGGGATATCGCTTAACATTCTGCGATAACATCCTGAATTATTACTTTGTCTTGTGATTTTATTTCTCTATAGAACCAAGTACTTGAATATTTTCCATAATTGCTTTTAGGCTGAATTGCTTGAATCAAATGTGTCAATTTAAAACTAGTAAGAGGCATTCAGTAGGAATACTGGCAGGAATCCTTGTCTCATAGTATCTGAACAGAGGAAACGATGAGCCTTTTGAGTTTAGTTAATCCAGCTGATGGCTCAAACGCCAGTAGGAAAGGCTGAAGTACTTCTGCTTTCCATTAGCCACAGGCTTGAAACATGTCTGTGGTCGGTTGTTATAGCACCCGCAATAGGTAGTACCTTGTTAAGCCGCAGTAGTTTGCTTGGATATTGGGGCCCTATTCCAGGTGTTTGTCTCTTGTGTATGCTCTGTCCCTGAAAGCTGCTTTGACACTAGCTTGTTGTTCTTGTTGCCAGCTGTGGTCTTCTAAGCCTACGTAAAAGTTCCGCCTCCAGAAAATAAAGAAATCACTTAAATGAAGTTCTTCCCCAGCACACAAAGGAAGACTTTAAAAAATAGACGAGAGAAAATTTCTAAGCATTAAGTGACTAATGAGGGGAGTATGTTCAATTTGTGACCTAACCATTTAAAATTGGAGGTCGCTCTGATAGCCAGTTTAGGCATTTATGCTTTGGTATGGGCGTAATCCTTTGTTCCAGCACTTCGGGTTGCTAATTTCTCCCTTCTTTTACTAAGAACTGTGCTGCTGAATGTGTCGTAGTCAGGAAGATTACTGTGTACCATTTGTAGTATACATCACAGTTTCTAAGAAAAATACAATTCAGAAAGTGTTTTATTGGTTGTGTAATGCAAATAACTTCTGATTGTTGGCTTTGGCCTTTAAAGCTGATTCCTAGGGGTGACATAAATGTTATTTAAATTTAAAAATTGAAACAGTCATTTCATGTTGTCACCACACAGTCAAGATGGCACAAATTCATTTTTATTTTTAAAATACCTTCTAACATTTCAGAATGAGTTGCCTGAAATCTAAGGCAGAAAGTGCAGGTTAATAGAGGGTTTTTTTAATCTACCCAAGATCTGTGGCCAGGCCTGTGACAATCCATGGCAGAACAGTGGACTGATGGAAGAATCTTCATCTGCCAACAGCAAAACTCTGTCTGGATTTCTTGTTTAATACAATTTTCTGTCTGCTTGCTTCAGGTACCCCTTAGGCAGC